TTTTAAGATAATACCTTCTAAGGGAATTTTTCTCACACTGTTGCCAATAAAGTCTGTTCTTTTCAATGTATTTGTTCCCATTATGTAACTTATCTTTTCGAAAAATTATGGTTTTTTGAATAATCTTTAGGTTGATTTGATAAGAAATGTCTATTTTCCGTTCTCTTAATCTTTAATTCTCATTCTGTGTGGGTTTTTTATTGAAGGGTATTTCTCATTACGTGATCTGGTAAAACTGCTTGCATGTAAATAGAGTCCAAAATAGCGAATAAAAAAAGAAAGGATTACATCAGCCATCCCTTTCTTTAACAAATAACATTCATATTGATTAAATTCGTATCCAAAATAGCGAACAAAAACAATGATTACATTATCCGTCCCTTTCTTTAATAAAATACAATATATATTGATTAAATTTACATTCCAAAATGTTATGGACAAATAGAAAAGTTTGCATCAGCCATCCCTTCCATTAACAAATAAAATTCATATTGACTCATTATCATTATTTTCTCACTTTGAATGTCGAATATGGTATTTTCATTATATTTATCATTAATAATATCATGATCATAACTGTTATTATCATTATCGTTATCGATTTCTTCACTGCTATAATGATAGTAATAATAATAATGATGATAATAATATGATAATGTTGATAATAATGATAACCACAATAATAATAACGATGATAATAGTAATAATGATAATAATGATAACAATAATAATTACGTTAATGATAATACCGATAATAATAATAGTAATAACAATAGTAATAATGATCATTGTGATAATAACAATAATGATAATGATAATGATAATGATAATAATAATAATAATAATAATGATAATAATAATAATAATAATAATAATAGTAATAATAATAATAATAATAATAATAATAATAATGATAATAATAATAATAATAATAATAGTAATAATAATAATAATAATAATAATAATAATAATAATAATAATAATAATAATGATAATAATGATAATAGTAGTAGCAACAATAATAATAATAATAATGATGATGATGGTGATGATACTACTACTACTAATACTACTACTAATTAGGATTATTATTAGTAGTAGTATTATAATAATAGCAACAAGAATGAAATAGTAATAATGAGAAAAATATAAATGACAATAAAGAAGATTATTATAATCATTATAATAATAATGATAATAACAACAATAACAAGAAAACTAATAACAACAATAATAATAATAATAATAATAATAATAATAATAATAATAATAATAATAATAATAACAATAATAACAATAATAATAATAATAATAATAATAATGATAATAATAATAATAATAATAATAATAATAATAATAATAATAATAATAACAATAACAAGAAAACTAATAACAATAGTAATAATAATAATAAGAATAATAATAATAATGATAATAATGGTAATTATAATAATAACAATACTACTACTACTACTACTGATAATAATAATAATAACAATAATAATAATAACAATGATAATGATAATGATAATAATAATAATGATGATAATAATAATAATAATAATGATGATGATAATAATAATGATAATAATAATAATAATAATGATGATGATAATAATAATGATGATAATAATAATAATAATAATATAATAATAATGATATAATAATAATAATGATAATAATAATATAATAATAATAATAATAATAATAATAATTAATAATAATAATAATAATTAATAATAATAATAATAATAATAATAGTAATAATGATAATGATAATAATAATAATAATAAATAATAATAATATGATAATAATAATAAATAATAATAATAATTAATAATAATAATAAATAATAATAATAATAATAATAATAATAATAATAATAATAATAATAATAATAACAATAATGATAATAACAATAATAATGATAATAATAATAATAATAACAATAAAATATAGTAATAACAATAACAACAACAACAATAACAGCAAAAATAACAACAACAATAATAAAATAAAAAATAATAAGGATAATAATGATAATAATAATAATAACAATAACAATAATAATAATAATAATAATAATAATAATAATAATAATAATAATAATAATAATAGTAATAACAACAACAACAAAAACAATAATAATAACAATTACAATAATAATAATAATAATAATAATAATGATAATAATAATAATAATAATAATAATAATAATTATAATAACAATAATGATAATAGTAATAAGAATGAGAATAATAGTAGCAGTAGTAATAGTAGTAGTAATATTATTAATAGTAATAGAAATAACAATAATGATGATGATGATAACAGTAATTATAATTATCATTATCATTGTCCTTATCATTATCATCACCATCATCATCATTATTATTTTTAACATTATTATCATTATAGTCCTTATTACTATTATTACCATCATCACTATTGTTACATTACTTTTATAAAAAACATTATCATTATCAACATTACTTTTAT